AGAGAGAGAGAGAGAGAGAGAGAGAGAGAGAGAGATAAAGAGATATGGACTATGCTACCAAGGCATGCAAAGTTCTCTATGAATTCAGTGTCCTCACAGCAAACATGGATCAACTGAATAGGTTCCCCTAACAGGTCCCCAAAGTCTTGAATATTGGTCTTGGTCCAGGAGACCTCTAGGCCCAAGGGCTTTGCATCATTGCTAAATGCATCAAGAGCTGCTACCAGTGACTCCAGGGACTTAGATAGGATAGCAACATCATTGGCAAAGTCAATGTCTGAGACCTTGATATTGCCCAGTGTTTCTCCACACTGACTTTGGGTAGTAGCTCTGCCCATTATCCAGCCCATGCAGGTGTTGAAAAGTGTTGGTGCAAGGACACAGCCTTGCCTCACCCCTGAATTAAAAGGGAAGAAGTTTGACAGGCCCCCACCACACTTTGCAACACTCAGTATTGATATGTAAGTTTGCTATTAGACCAATAATCCGTGTCAGACTTCCCCTAAGACTCAGAATCTCCGTTAGCTATTCTCGATGCACTGAATCAAATGCCCTTTTGAGGTCAGTGTAGGCTACAAGCAGCCCACGACCAAACTCATGATGGCGTTCCACAGTTACTCTGAGCACTAGAATATGGGCTATTGTGGACTTGCCAGGAGTGAATCCAGACTATTCCTTTCTCTGTTTCAGAAGAATGTGGGCGAAAGCTTTGCCTAGTATACTGAGAAGTGTAATTCCATGGTAATTGCTACAGTCCCACTGATCCCCTTTCCCCTTCCAGAGAGGGATGACCTCGCCCCTCAAGAGGTCAGAGGGAATGGTACCAGATTGCCAGATGGCAGCCAAAACTGCTTGCAAACCCTGTTCAGCAGGGATATCACATATGCCTGTGACTTTCCCACACTTCAGCTTGGAAATTGCCATCCTAACCTCAGTTAGGGTAGGAGGTTCCTTGCTGATGGGTGGGTCTGGCTCAGGTATTGTGATACCACTTGCTTTCAAGCTTACAGTTGGAGGGACTACCTGGTACAGCTGCTCAAAATACTCAGCCCAACATTCACAAACCCCATCATGATCCATCCACTGAACGGACTGCAATCATCTGCAAGGAGGGCTTAGAGTTCAGCTTTCTCAGGGCTTGGTAGACAGGGCAAAGGTCATTTACCAAGAAATGTCCTTCAACCTCTTCAGCAAGATTTCTTATGAACTGTTCCTTGTCCCTTCTTAGCACTGTCCAAGCTCTACGCACCAAAGAGCAATGCAAGTCCTGATTGCCATTCAGCTGAGCCATGCGACACACTTCAGTGACCACCAATGTCTCCAGTGAGATGAAATTCTGCCTTCTCTCAGACATACGCCAATGGACTCCTGCGCTGCTTCGAGTGTTTTATGCTTGAAGGACTCCCACAGAGTAACTTGGTCCATCAGGTTTTCAAGTTCTATGAATTGATCAGAGACTGCTGTGGTTAACCCATGAGCATACTCCTCCTCCCTCAGTATCTGCGTGTAAAATCTATTAATAAAAAAAACTCACATGGCGTGGCATGCCTGATGGCATTGGGTTAATATATGGTTGTCAAAGGTATAACGTTTGTTACATGAAAGGAAATGCAGGAAGTATGTTTTCAACTCTTTGATTCATTGATTCATTAACCCCTTGCCGACAGGCATGGCATGTACGTACATGCCATGCCCACTGTGAGTTGACTTGTTTGATTGTTTTTACACATAGATGGCTACACTTGTACTAAGTCCTCAGTGAGCCAATTACGAGTACTGCCTGTCTCGCCCGTTTACCCTTTTCATCGATTTACGAAAATATTTAACGTTATCCTAATTTGCTGTTAAAAATAACAAATACGTTTTTTCCTGCCAATTCAAGGAAAGGTGAAATCAGGACTAGCAGAGCCATGTACAGAGACATTTCACGAAAATATAAAAAATGAACACCGCATTTTCCCCATTTTTTATTCATTTTCCCTGGCGGCAATGGGTTAATTGAGGAGGATGATAATGATGATTCTGTGCATTTACTTTTTATGGTTTTTTTTTTGCAGATGTACTCTGAAGCGGGAGTTGCCAGCTATTCCATTAAGCGCTCATCCAGACCCATCTGGTGATTGCAATGTGGAACGCACACAGTCACAGCATTCCTCTGATCTCTATGCTGCCGTTGGTGATGTCAATGATGGTATGAGTACACTTTATGCTGTTGAGGATAAAGGACATGAATGTAAACAGAAAAATTGTGATTCAAAATTTTGTTAATGATAGGCTTTATACTGTTAAAAAACAACAACATTTCTTATGTATTCACAAAGATGGAAAGAAAGAAAGGAATTGTTCTTAAACTTGGTAATTTTTATACTGTCAAGAATGAAAAAAACTTTTCAGGCATGTCATTAAGAGGAAAAGTAAAAAAAACTAATAGTATTGGGGAAACGTCCTTTCAAGACTTCCTAAGCCAAAGGAAAACAAAAACTAACCCTAAAATTCCCATCTTTTCCCCCAGCGAGCGGAATAGCCAAGGTTATTGGTGGCGTGCAGGTGCTACCCTCTGGTGCCATTGGGCCTGGGGGTCGAGCAGCCATCCTGCGTGACCCCAATGTGACCTCCCCCACTGACTCTAGTGGTCCCACTACCAGTGATGGGCCTGGAGTTGCGACCAGTGTGGCCGCTGCTCACCCCTATGCCAAAGTGAAGAAGGAACATCCCTACGCTCATGTCAAGCTACCAAAGAGTGAGTATGCAGAAAGGAGGGGAGGGAAATGACTTTGGGATTACATGGTGTGTGTGAATGTGGTCGCTATGGATGGAGTGGTGGGTGTAGGTGGGTTAGTGGATGTAAAGTGCTGTTTGTCTATTGTGGATGTGGTTATTTGTATTGTTATTATTCCTGTTGTCATTATTGATTAATTTAGATTTACATTTTTTCTTGTTCTGCAGAAGATCATCCTTATGCAAAGGTGGTTCGTGATGATTCTGAGGACCCTGAAACAGATACAGATAATTATGATGACCCCAAAGCCATTGCCAAAGACAAAACGTAAGTACAATGCCTTTATTTTTCTCGCATATTTTAGGTAAGTCTTCAGAAATAATATTATTATTATAATTTTTTTCCTTTTATAATTAGATATAGGGAAATGCCTTTTATATTCATTTTGATGATTTAATTGGACATTGAAACCATTATACTTTAGTCTTGTAGAAATTGGTCCAGATCAGGTCTCTGTATTTATATGAAAATCAGAGCTTCTATGTACTAGCTTTGTACTTGACTATACTGCCAGATTTGTAATTACTTGTAAACCTGAGATGATAGAGTAGGGGCTCATTCTGGAATTCCTCTAACCCTTTGCAGTAGTGGATGGGACTCTGAGGCTACCTATGAGGCAGCTCCCCCTGTGCCTGAGAAGCGCTTTGACCTAGAGGAGGAGACAGCTGTGGGATCAGGTCCTCCTGCAGATAGCATTGTTGGGGGAGGGGGCCTCATGACCACCTCTGTGACCTCAGCCTCCTCTGCCCTTGGGCCATCATCCCCCCGGTCACCCCTCCTCAGTGCCCGGGTCTCCATGACGAGCTCAGCACATTCCCCTACATCCCCCCATAGCACAGGACCGAGTGCAGATAGGCCTCCCTCTGCAGATATCCCTGCTGCCATGGCTATCTCAGGACGCACCCCCGCCAATGAGGAGCTGCCTTATATGACACCCCCACTACATCATGTAAGTCATTTGTGAATTTTTCTTTTTCTTTTATAATGTCACCTTTTTCCAATAATTTTCTTTTTTCTTTTTGTTTTATATTAAGACATGTTTTGAAGTTGTGGGGTAGGTATGTGTCTTGACAAATAATGATACTTGCGGCTGGACTGTGACTTTGAAATGAACTGTACTGTTATTCATATGCTTTTGTACATCCTCAAAATTAATAGTTTTATTTTTCATATTGTTAATTAGTTTTGATTGATGATAAGATAAAAAAGTGCTCAATTTTAATAAAATAATTAAACTTGGTGAATTTAGGATTTAGCCAAAGTATTTTTCTATGAGAATTAACTATAGAAATATTTATCTGTAGTTTAAATCAAATAAAACCTTAGGATAGGTATTCATCACTTGTGGTTATGGATAAATAGTGTTATCAGTGAAAGAGATTGTCAAACACTTACATATTTTTCTGTGCTTCTTGCTAGCAAAATGGAACGGTATGTATTTGTTTTACTTTTGAATATTGTGTGACATAAATTAGTTATCATTAACAGTTAATTTTTTTATGTTCTAAATTTTCTGTTCTGTATGTTTATTTTTGTTGAGCATTGCAAGGTTTTTGAAGATTGAGATGTAAAGAAAAATACAGGAAACAATTTAATTCTTCTAGATATGTGGACCATTATTTTTATAGTATTAAAAATAAGATACATTTAATTTGATTTGTGCTTGAAGATATTCTTTTGTATATTATAAGCTATCATGCATTGATAAAATACTGTACAAGGGTTAACAATGTCCAAACTGAATAAAAGTTAACTCTCTGTACGTACAACAAAAAAAATAATCATCATACATGGTAACTCCCCATAGGCTGGCATTGAGCTCCCAGTACAGCAAAACTTCAGTGGAGACTCCCAGGACTCACGAGGCTACACAAGCATCAGCGTACGGGAACCCCTGGCTGCTCTCAAAGCACAGTCTCAGGGGACAGCAGCTACCACAGCATCTCCAGCTACTCAACCCCATGAAGGAGAAGGGTGTGTTATTCTGAAAGGAGTTTAGAGTTCAGATTTTTATTTTTTTCATTGTGAAAGGATCTGCTATTTCTAATGAGATTTAGCTGTTGGGATGCTCTGTTGATACAGTTTTGTTTGAAGAGATTGATGCTGTATGTGTTTCAAAACTAATTTGATTAGATTTTGTGCCTTCTTGTTACATTTGCTTCTGCTTCACAGGTACTACATGACTGTGTCAGATGACTCAGCGGACGAGATGTACGCTTGC